AACACCTAAATTTGTGGGAACTTGTGCAAAAATCTGCTGTCTCCAATTTCTCAGTCTTCCAAATCTAAGGTCATGAGTTCACTTCCTGCATCACTTAGCTTCATTGTCTCCTTCCGTGGCTCGAAACAAAATCCCAACAAAGTATGGCAGTCACTGTACCAGAGAAGCTGAGTAGAGGCAGAAGAATAAACTATCAAAGCACAAAGGGCCAAAGATGAGAATGGATGGTCCTCTCCTGTGTAAAAGCAAGGAGTCATTAGGGGAGTGCAGACAGATGGAAAGAACAGAGGGAGGAGAAAGGAAGGAAGAAACTCCACTTCTTGGACCTAGGCTAAAACAAGGTGAAATCAGTCTTGGGAAAAGATCGGTTGTCAGCTTCACTGCTGCTCTTTAAATACCATCTATCTACATGCCAACAATGTCCAAATGTATGTCTCCAGCCTAGACCCACCTCCCAAATTCCAGACTAGTGTGTTCAACTCAGTACTTGATATGTCCACTTGGATGCCTAACCAACCTCTCCAGCTCAACATGTCCTAAACAGATCCTGATCCTTCCTCCCCAAACCTAGGCTATCTGCAGCTTCCCCATCTCAGTGGATGGCAATCCCATCCTTCTGGTTGTTTAGGCTAGAATCTAAAAATAGGAGTCATCTGTGCTATCTCTCTTTCTCTGTCTGGAAATACTCTTGGGTCTAGCTTCAAAAAATACCAGAATCCAATAGTTCCTCACCAACCCCACCACTACCACTCTGGTCCAATCCATCATTATCTTTTGCCTATGTTACTGCAATAACTTCCTAGACTTCCCTGCTTCTTTTTTAACCCCTATGCACAGCAGTCTATTCTAAGCAGAGCAGCCAAGTATCCACTTAAGACATACGTTATCTTATGCCACCCTCCTGCTAAAAATTTTGCACTGGCTCCCCATTTCAATCAAATAAAACTCAAAGGTCTTTGTAGACAGTGATCTACAAGACCCAATATGATCTAGTCCCCATTACTTCTCCTGCCTCCTCTCACTCAGTTTTTGGCACATGACTTTCCTTACCACTCTTTCTACACAATTATCCACTGCTTATTATTCATGGTTGTGTGCATACATTTTATCTCACTGTTGAGTAATATGAATAGCTAGTATTTGAAATCCCATATTTGCATAAGTTAACAAATTATGTTTACATATAACATTTCATTTAATCTTATAAAAGTGTTATAAACTAAGCATTCCTTTCCCCATTTTACATACAATAAATCTGACTTCAGAGAGGTGAAACAACTTGTTGAGGGTCACGTGGTTAGTAATTGGAGTGCTTGTATTCAAATATAGGTCTATTTGACTCAAATGGGGAAAAGGAGGATTTAATGTTGATTGATTTCTACTAGATTAAGGTCCTTACATTAATAATCTCATTTAATTACCCTTAATCTATCATTTTCCCTCCTTCCATTATGTTCTACTCCATTATACAAGGTGTCTTATACACAGCAGATGACTATAAAATGTTGATAAGCATCATCATCATCATGTCCTTACAAATTCTATTTTTAGTCTTTACTTCAGTCATCATGGGTCATGTTCTATTTATTTCTTCATTCCTGCACTAAAGAAAGAGACTTATGGGCAGCAAGACTGGATAGTTAAATTCAGTGGGCAGTAATTGCATTTCTTTTTCTTCTTTCTAAAAATTGTTACCTATTTGTTCTCAATATCTGCTCTATGGCCATTCCCAAGGGAGTTCTTGGTTCCTTGAGCTCCTACCTAATTCCCTTCCCAACAGCAATGCAGTTATTCAGCTTGCCAATTATATGTTTCCAAGTGGCCTCTCAGTTCTCTTTTGTAGAAGTCAATATGGTCTAATCATTCCCTAAATAGTTCACCTATATCCTTGGATATAATCCTTTTTCTTCCTTTGCAGATACTGTTCAAAGCTTGGTCAGTTATCTAGTCAACAAGTGTTTTTTTTAAAAAAACAAAAACAAAAACAAAAACAAAAAAAAAACAAGTGTTTTTTTAGTCCCTAATATAGGCCAATCCCTGATTTAGGAATTGGGAATGGCCAACTAGGACATTTTGTCCCACAGTGGTTCTTCAATAGATGAAGATAAGATGTGAGGTTGTTTTAGTCTATTCCTGGGTGATAAATCTGAGCTAGAAGTTACTTAAGAGATTGATCAATCTCCACTTTACAGATATTAAAACTGAGCCCCAGATTTTTAAAGGCACTTTCCAGTTTTTATACCAATTATTTTTATCCCAACAGGTTTTAAGTTTCTTAAAGATTGTGTATCCATTTTTTAAAAATACTACATTAAGCAATTTTAATGTTTCATGGTTTTGCTAATTGAAGATGCCAATTAGAGCTTCTAATTAGCATGAGGTTGTGTTACTACATTAAATTGATTTCATTTCAGCAAAATTAGAAAACCTTGACATTTTGCTGAGCCTATGCATTAATAAGAAGGCCAAACATAGTTTTTTTTTTCCATTGTAATCCCCACAGTGTGTGTCTGTGTGTGTCTGTGTGTGTCTGTGCACGCGCGCACACCTGGACATTCAAAAAGTACAGTTTAGAAAAATTTGATAGGATGGGAGAATAAGAATGCCAATGTCAAGACCAGAGTTCTCAGTCCTGTAGTCTACTCATATCTCTTAATACATTTTTCATTCAACAACCATTCCTTGAGACCAGCTCTGCTATGGCCACTCTTATATATACTGTGATACAAAGAGCTGCAGAAGCTCTCAGAGAAGAAGGGAGCTGGGACATGTAGGCTTGTGAGCAGCAAACCATTCAAAGCAGTTCAACCAAGCATAATGAGCAGAGGGTTGGAGGAGGTAAGTGAGGGATCTGGTTTTAAAGGAGTTTGAACTTTATTTCATAAGTAGTAAGAGGCCAAGAAGGGGTCCAAATGAGGAAAATGACATGGTACCTTCATGGTTTCTAGAAGCAGCAATGTGGAATGTATATTAGCATGGGGGAAGAGATCAGAGCAAGGAGACCAAATCAGAGTCTATCACAATAATCTAAGCAAGAATGTATGAAGGCAAAAACAGTGGGAGGGGAGAAACAAAAGGGAATTGATGTGAGAAATATTCAGTGTATTAGATAGCACTAGAGAAGCAGGAAAGAGGAGTTAAAAATTGCTGTAAATATCCACCAGTCAATTTAGCAGTCATTCCCAGCCTCCTTTTTAAGCTTAACATGTGCCATCTCCCACGGGACCCTCTCCAAGTTGATGTTAGCTTGTTGGGCCCAGAAGTAGATACCCAACTCCAAATGGGCCAAATTTTCTTTCGTGGAAATCTTATAGTAAGTCTTTGAAGCTTGATTGCCCATTCACAGGAAAGTCTTAGAGATTAAGGTTAGCATCATAGAGATTCAAGGGCTAAAGGCCATGTTGGGCTATGAACAAGTAGTCAAATGTAGTATCTTGGGTGGAGAATACAGATGACTCATAAAGAGATCCCAGAGATGGAGCAGGGAAGTGAAGGATAGGGGAAAAAGAGAGGGGAACATAGACAGAGACCTGGATAGTGCATCATAGAATCATAAGAAACAAAATCATTCTTCCTCAGAAACAAGAAGACTTACCCATCGCACCTGAAGAAGGTGTTGAGTAGAATGTTATATTCCACTTTAGAGTGGTTCCAGGAGACAGAAGAAGAACCTGGTAAAGAAGACCTTAGGGAGCATTAGGACCCTGTTACCATGCGACCAAATATGACACAAAGAAGCTGTGGCACCTAAGTGCTTTAGATATGTGACAAATCAAAGTGTTGGCCTGTTTTTAAAGAAAGGAAGCCTTTCACAGGAACAATTGGGTAACCACAGCCATTATATTTACATATTCATTTAGCAGTAGTAAATTGTAATGCCATATTTTGGGATTTTCTAAAGAATGTTTGTGGCAGAAGGGTAACAACAAGGCTCATTACAGAAACATAGAAATAAATATTGTTGGCCATTGTTCCAGGTATCACAGAAATTGATGAGACATTCCCCCCATGGAGAAGCTCATAACTCCAGACGATGTGGCAGTATAATGTTAAGTGCTATGGTGGAATTTTGAAAAAGAAGCCTTAAGAATCAAAGTAGGGATATTTGCATGAGCCAAGGTGAGATGGAGAAGTGTCTTCCAAGGAGGAGGCATTTGAGTATTATAGGAGAAAGAGAAATCGATTGGACAAGTAAGGTGGAAGAGTACACAGTGATGGAGTTATCACATATTTCCTCTCAACGGTATTTCATACATGTAGGCACTGATCTAAAACAAAACCTAAGCCTCATGAAAGTAGGGTCTATTTTTTTTTTAATTAATGAGCTGATATTTCTCTCTTTGAGTCCCAACCAATCTTTTTTTAATTTAAATTTAATTAGCCAACATATAGAACATCATTAGTTTTTGATAAAATGTTCAATGATTCATTCATTGTGTATAACACCCAGTGAACCAGTCTTAGCATATCTGGTGTTATACTTTCATGTTCGTTAACCCTATGTGAGCTTTGAAGTCCAACACACCTGCCCATAAGTTGTAATTCTGACATTTCCTAGGTGCACATTGACCGATGTTGTGTTGCCCCTTGACATTTAACTCTTTAGCTTTTTAACTTTTCTTTTCTTTTTTTTTTTCGGGCTTATTTCTCATTGTAAGAATAGGATAAGCTAGTTTGTACATAGGCTCAAATGACCAGTGCCAAAGACTTTGACTATCCATAGACCTTCCCCACTCCGTGTCTCCTCATGCAGATAAAGCAGCAGGTGATAGGCAGAAGCTAAAACTCCCTTTGTGTCTAAGATGTGATGACTTCATGAAACACAACTGAAAACAGACCAGTTGTTTCAAAACCATGCAATCCCTTCTAGTACTCATCATGCTGTTTTACCGGCTAGCTAGAGAATTTTTCAAACTTTTGTTTTAAACTTCAGTATATATATACATAGACATATATATTTATTTAAAGCCATCCCTGACTTGCCATGACAGGGTACTTACCAATCCTCTTGGGTCACTGTAGAAATTACCATCATGAGACCATGCATAGAATTCGAGGAGAAAACAGGATGCATCCCTGGAACCGCTGGTCAGATCCTAACAGGTCTCCTTGGAGCCAGAATCCTGTGTCCTCGCCAAGACAGAAGAGCACTGTGGAGACTCCCCAGGGGACTTGCAGACCAGTTGTTTCAAAAACATCATTGTGTAGTTGGGGGAATCCCTTCTTAGAGGGCCTTGAATCAGCTTCTTCTAAAAGCATCATTATCTTCCTGGCTAATCCAGAAGAAAATTAGAACAAAGTGAAATGGTTGCAGATGTTTAAGGAAAATAAGCAAGGCAAAGCCTTTTTTCTTACTGTGCATTAGAAAAACTACCTCTCCAGCATTTTTGTTTTAACTTTTGAGTCAAAAGCATCTTACCAGTAAGTATAAGTGTCATATGCATCGTTATGAGAATATTACTGCTATGAGATAATAAGCCATATATGAATGTTGTATACAACTTTAGGGTTTGCATTTAATCCTAAAGTGTTCACCTCCTTTCACCTCTATTTACGCTAGATTCCTATTTACTAAGTGGGGAAGGGGCTCCTTTTTATAGTGCTTCATTGTTAATAAGTCAATACTTGTTCTGTTTCTGAGATGTTCTCTTCGTGCATTAAAAAACTTCAAAATTAAAAATATATGTATCCCTGTGCCTCAGTGTTCTAAAACTACCTACTTTTTTCGTTGGTTTTGAGAATTATACCATATAAAGCACATAAAGCGCTTAATGCCCTTCTGGTAATACAGAAAATATTTGGAACAAGTTATTTAAGAACAAGCTTATGCTTTATATCCCATCATCCCATGAAATCATCTAAAAAATGTAAATATGTTGGCAAATGTGATTCATTCATTTACTACCTCTTTTTTAAAATATTATAGGAAGGGTGCCTGGGTGGCTCAGTTGGTTAAGTGACTGCCTTCGGCTCAGGTCATAATCCTGGAGTCCCTGGATCGAGTCCCGCATCAGGCTCTCTGCTCGGCAGGGAGCCTGCTTCTCCCTCTGACCCTCCCCCCCTCATGTGCTCTCTCTCTCTCATTCTCTCTGTCTCAAATAAATAAATAAAATCTTTAAAATAAAATAAAATAAAATAAAATATTATAGGAAGTTAAGAAAGGAAAAATTTTACCTATTATGTCTATTCAAACAAAACACCTACCTTTCATACCTCTTCGAAACTCCCTTCAAATTTTTATCCCCTATACCTGCAATTTTATTTTATTTTATTTTATTTTGTTTTGTTTTGTTTTGTTTTGTTTGTTTTGTTTTTTACCTGCAATTTTAAATGGCTAAAATTCTAGCATATATCTAAGTATATGTTCTGCTCCTTTTTGGCTAACATTATTTACAGACATTTTCTCTTTTGTTACGTTTTCCCTTTTAATTATTGCTCAAAATTCTTTAGTACTGACATATCACAGTTTATTCAGCTTGCTCCCTATTGTTAGCTATTTGAATTGTTTACAATCTTACACTGTTAAAAATAATAATGTATTGCCTTCATTTATTCCATAAACATGTATCGAGCAACTACTAAATACAAACTATTATACTGCCATGTGGGTTTAGGAAGTTTATTCTGGCAGAAATTCCACTTGCAAGTTTTCAGTCTGGTAGAGTACAGCTAGATCGGCAGATAGATAAATACATGCAGGAAGAGGAATTCCATGGGTGCTATAAGAGGTGCTAAGTTACTCTTCTAGAACAAGGGATTCTATTTGGCTATAATTCAGGATTAGTTGGAGCAACACATGGAGATTAAGTGGGAATAGTTAGGGCAGATCACATAAGGTCATGAACCCGGAGTTAGAGACCCTGAACTACTTTCTATGATTGATGGGTTACCATCAATTGAGGCATCATGGAATAATGGTTAGAAGAGCACAGATCCAACAATAAAAAGTTTGTTAAATGAATCATCATATGCACAAATAATGGAGTCCTATGCAGCCATTATAATAAGTGATTGAAGAATAACTAATGGCTTGAAAGTAATTTATAATGTTATCCACATAGAAAAGTAAGATTGTAAACCAATACATCCAGTATGATCTTAATTTTGTGTGAGAAACAAAACCTAAAAAAAAACAAAAAAAAAAAGGCTGGAACTATTTGCTCAGATTTCTTTGTGGTTATTTCAGAGTATAGGGATTATGAGTGATTTCATTTTCTACTTTGTGCTTTGCTTTCTTTTTTTTTTTTTTCATTTTTAAATTGAGCACTTAATATATCCCTGATAATTCAGCATTTGGATTGTTTCCAATTTCCATTACTGGAAGTAATGGTTTTTTTTTTTTTTTTTTTTTAAAGATTTTATTTATTTGACAGAGAGAGACACAGCGAGAGAGGGAACACAAGCAGGGGGAGTGGGAGAGGGAGAAGCAGACTCCCTGCCGAGCAGGGAGCCCGATGCGGGACTCGATCCCAGGACCCTGGGATCATGACCCGAGCCGAAGGCAGTTGCTTAACCAACTGAGCCACCCAGGCGCCCCTGGAAGTAATGGTTTAATGAACATCCTTGTACATAAATATTTGTATGGGTCTCAGTTAATTCATGTAAGTGGAATCTGGGGATCAAGTGGTATGCTTACAGGATATATATTACTTTGTTATTTAAATTTTTAATTAAAAAAAAAGCATGGGCTCTAGAGTCAGTCTATGTATGTTTGAACATGAATTCCACCACTCTGTATAATCTCAAGCAAGTTACATTAGTTTTGTGTGCCTTGTTCCACTCTTTTTAAAACAAGGATGTTAACTGTACCTTCCTCATGGGTTGCTGTGAAGATTGGATGCACTGATTCCTATAAAGGCTTACAACAGAGCCCAGCCCACAGTGAGTGCTTATTAATACATGTTAGAAACCATGAATTTTTATTGTTAATAATACAATAGAAGTTTTCTTATTTTGTTTTCCCTGATGCATTTTTGTCATTTAATGTATTCTATTATGACAGTATCTTATTTAATTAATGCTTTAATTAATCCATCCCCCAATTAATCTTTTGCTCTCACAATTTCTTCCTATTGCCCTTTTAGAAAACACTCTAAAAGGATAAAACTCGGGTTATGAGATATGAACCTTTTTCTTTTTTTCTTTTTTTTTTTTTTTTGCTCTTGATATGAAAGCTTACTTGCAAATATTCTTTAAACTACCCAATAGCTAGTCACAATAGATTTTGGCATGGAAGTTAGTTAGAATGTAGTTCTACAGTGTCAAAATCAATTTTGAAGGAACACTGGGATCTCTAAAGGATTTCAAGCATCCCTTTTCAAGGGAATATTACAGCTGGAGCAAGCATCTGTTCCCAACATTTCCCTCCGGGGCCTCACAGAGATATCAGATGAAAGCAAGGGAAACAGGTCTTTTTTACAAAGTGGAAGGTGCTCCCGTCAGAAGCAATTACTTATCACACAAGAAAGCATCCCTTATTTTTTTTGGTTTTTGTAGAACATAATCCTATCACATGAAATATTCTGTTAAACAAAGTCTTACCTGCAAGATGAGACTCCTTTAGAATTTGGAAGCATTCTGTGTGATAGCAAAAGAAATGAGTCCTTCCCAGAATTCTTTGTGCGTCCTCCCTACATATCTGTAACTGATAGAAGAATACTAGTGACTCACAGCAAGGAACTGAGGACTGGAAATCAGGATAGCTAGATTTTAGACTTGTTCCACTACAATCACCTGGAAGACCTTGCACTAATAGTGTAACTTCTCTGAATTTCAACTTTCTATCTGTAGAAATGAGGCATAGAATCAGCAGATGTCCAAGGTTCGGTTTGGTCCAAACATTCCACACACTTTTCCTTTTTTGTTGTTTCCTTCTAGACTTGGCTCAGAGTTAGGAATGCAGAAAGCAGTCATTAAATATTACAACAGAATTCCCCTTAGCACTGAGAGGGAGAGGGTGAAATCCATGTGCTAACATGTTCTCCCTTAACACACCACCCATATTTATAAGGTACCTACACGGTGTCAGTACTGTTACATGGTTGAGACACATTACGAGCAAAATAGAAACAATCTCTGTCTTTTGAAGTTTATAGTAGATCAGATAATGACCCAAGGGATGATAATTAAGTTTGATAGGTACTGTGACCTCAGGGGTAGCCAGCTTTGAGAGGCTATAATTTTAAAGCTGGACCAATAGTAGAGAAGACACTGATGTATCAGTTCCTTTAGACGACGCTCCCTGGCCATTCCCAACACCCTTAGCTCAGGCTAAGTAAGGATGTGTTCCTCCTCGGGGCTCCCATGGCACCCTGTGCTTCTTGCCATCTGATCCATTAATACATTGCTTTGGAAAATATATGGACATATGTGTCTACCCCATCAGACTGCACCATCCTCAAGAAGGACCATTTCAATTTCATTTTGTGCCTCCATCTACAACCCCTAGTGTAGCACACAACACAAATCCTGATATATAGTTGGGACACAGAAAATGTTTGTTGAATAGACACAAGACCTAATCCCTTTATAATTTCAGAAGAGCAGTGACAGGTGGTAGAACTCAGGATATAATCAGAGTTCAATCAGTCCAAGAGCCAAGGTCCACCTCTGGCCGACCAAGCACTGTCTTACTTAGAGAATATCCAAATACAGGCAGTTCTTTGGTTACCTTAATTCTCATGGAGCATTTTCTTCTATGGCCCATATTTCTTTAACTTCCTCCTTTAAAAAGCCCCCATTGGAGCATGAAAGCTCAAAGGGATGATGTTGGCCAAGCCCTTTGACCTCTGCAAGAAGATGAACACATACACACACAGAGTAACTTGGCATTCCTCTGGCTTTTTCTTTTCAATATTGAGATCTTATCAACATGTGATCAACAAGTGATCCCACGCATTTCAGGATACACATTTCTAATAAACTGTAGAAGGACAAGATGAAAAATGTACTCTAACACAACTCCAAGGTATTGGCATCCCCTTGCTGATGTCTAAAGGCAAACAGGTAGTGTTCCAACCAAGTTTTGCACCTCTGCCACCAGGCAACCTTGTTCCAACTTGAATCAGAGAGGAAGTGTTCTGCATTTCCAGCTAGCTTCATGTCTGGGGATCTGCAGGTCAGTCACCAGCTCACACTTCTGCTTCCTCCATCACCTGGCCCGGTTCTATCTTTCCTCCTTTTATTTCTTCAGTTCTTCCTTGCTCTTGCTAAGCTGATCTCTTTGTTCTCTCTGAAAACCCAGCTTTCTTCCACCGCCTTGCCTTTGCACAGAATGAACTCTGGCACCAATACTCCCCCCATTTCCCAAACCATCTGCACGTATTTAAATCTTTCCCATTTTCAAGGTCCAAGTCACATAGCAAATGCTCCAAAATGTTTTTTCTGAATGCTTCAGCTTAATATAGTTTCTCTCTCTTCTGAGCTTTATATGGAACCCTCTATTTATACATATTCTTCTTATAACTTCCTGCCTGGTGTTCTGGGAGTTCACGGACTGGCCTTATCTTCCCCGCTAGCTGCAAGTTCCCCAAAGGATGATTCATTGCCGTATTCCCAGCACCCAGTACATAAAGGATGCTCAGCACACTGGACACTGTGGCATGGATCGGTAGTCCCCCACTTGGATTTCTCATTCTTCCCAATAATAGATGAATCTCGTATTTGCAAGGATTGAAGGAGAACGGACGGGCTTGGTTGCCTTACAACTGCCCCAAATTGCATCCTTTGCTCTCTGCAGTCTGCTCCCAAGATAGGCTGATTAATGGGGGGAAAACATTCAATTCCAAGGAAACTGTGTAAGCAAAGGCCTAGAGAGGTGACCAAGCATTGACTCTTCTGTAAACTGTAGAGTGACTTTGATGCAGAGCCTACAATAGGAGAAGAGATATAACTGGAAAGGTAAAGAAAGCTTCATAGTAGAGACACTCACCCACCCTGTGAGGGGACTGGAACTTTATCCTGTGACCACTGAGGAAGTCACCAAAGGATGTTACACATGTGAGTTCCTGAAAGATGACCCTGGATGTAGCATAAATAAGAGACTAGAAAGGGGACTACAAGGCGACCAGCTAAGGGATGTTCATTGTGATTCATTGACTGTATGGTTCCTTTTGATTTACCCTGGGGTAAAAGAAGGAGAAATGGCAAATTTGTACAGTATACAAACACTTTTTTTACAATTAAAAAAAATCTGCAAAAAACAAATGAGCTAAATGTTCACAGAAGCCTTCAAACACCAAGGCAACACGCAAATGTAAGCTACACATCCCCTCAGGCTAAGGGAAGAATGCAGCTTCCAATGAGGTACTGTTTCGAGGCACATCATATTTATTCATTTTATTCACACAGTGACTTACACCTATTTTTATATGAAACATCCATTGTTCCCAGAACATGAGGAGGAGAAGGGTGCTCGAGAAGCTTGCTAAGTGGAGGGAAAGGAGCAAGTTACAGATTGTTAAATTCAAAGGTATATTTTAAAGTAAAAGTCCAAAGTATTTTTTTCTTTTTTTGATTTAACTCTTCATGCTCATGTGTCTTTTGGGTAAATTTTCATTCATTTCTGTCCTGAGATTAGTGGCCAAACCCAAAGTAAATAACTAGTATTCGCTGAAGAAGGTATTCCCCTTCATCTTGATTCCCTTTTTCTTCTGTTTTGGATAGTCTGTGTTCCTGTGGCTGCCATTTTGAGAGTTCTAAAAATAATATATAAAGAGCTGATCAGTGAAGAGAAATCTGAGGTGAACAAGGAACTCAAAATCAGTACCTTGAATTATTGCAGTTCTTCCTTTTTCACTGGGCAGAACACTTGATGACAATCCACCTGGCAGAAATTCCCGTCCAATTATCTTGTCAAGAACCTTGACTGACATACCATTATATACAGAATCAAGTCTAATTTCCTCTGCAGGGCATTCAGAACCTACATGGATTTGATCCCAAGCAACTTTCCAGCTGTATCTTTCCCTGCTTCCCCACATCCTGGTCTCCTCAACATTCTCCAAACCATTATCCTCATCCTGTGATGATGTTATCTTTCACCCCATGTGTCCATCCATCAAGATCTTCAAACACCTAATGCCACATTGAGATGCCACTTTAGGCACCTCAAGTGAGATGGAGGAGAGGGAATATATCTCAGTCATCTCTACTTGTCCTACAGTGATTAGCCCAGTGGCTGCACACAGTAGGTCCTCGATATTGGCTTGTTTGCTGTTATGTTCCAATCCTTTGTCCATCTACTTTTTCTTACCTGGATCTTTTGTGACCAGATAAGGGTCAGGCCATTGCAGGAGGGCAGGGAAAGGAGCAAAGCCTTATGTGTTATGCATTACATATTAAATTATGTGTTATGTATTCCTCAGGCTCATCCATTCATTATCTGTCATTTAGTAAGCACCTACAATGTGCCAGGCACTGTGCTGAGAACTTCACATGTATGATCACTCTCTCATTTACATTTCAATGAGCTAGATATTATTACTAGTTTTATTAGTCAAAAAGGGAAACTTGGGCTCAGAGAGGTGGTGCAATTTGCCCAACATCACACAGCTAATTTGTGTCTGATCATAGAACGAAATCTATGGTCTTTCCATTATATGTCATCGCCCTAAGACAAATACCCTGACACAAAGGAGCTCACAGACTTGAAGGGGATTTGAGTTTTATAGCCTGTTCACTAATACCCATTTATTCCACAAATATCACATCAGGCATCAGGAACACAGCTGTGAGGAACAGGCAGTGGTGGATGGGGAAAGAAGGGGAAAACATGAAATCCAAGAAAACCCAAGAAAGCAAAATAACTCATTCAAAAGATAAAACAAAAGAAGTGCATGTGCCTTATTCACATACTTTTTTTTAATTGTCAAATGAGGAACTTTACAAACCTGGGTGGGGTTTTCAACATGATTGGTCTAGCTGAAACAGAGGGGGAAGTGAAAGTCAAAGAAGGGAATGGAACATTGATTTGGGGATACTATCACAAATGTCCTGTTTTGTTTTTCAAACTCCCTAAGATGTGAGCTCAAAGAGGAAATGTCTGACAATCTGCTGGGTAGCCATGAAATTGTATTGCTCAGGTCTCCTTAGATGGGAAGCATAGTTGACTGAATGTCCCAGCTGCTGGATCCGCTACTGTGTTCATGCCAAGGACACACCTCCCACAGGCTACTCTCTGCCAATGACTAAGCATGACAAGGGTTCAAGTCCAGGCCCATTTCTTCAGGACATGGAGCTGCTCATATGGGCAATTTGGGCTCTATCCAAATACTGGATTTTAGAAAAGAACTTCCGTCTCGGACTCTTTCTGCTGGTCCTGTCCTTCCTCCTCTCCTTTCACAGGTGTGAGACCTGCATCAGGGTCTGAAGGCTCTCCCTGCCTCCTCCTACTTCCTCCCTCTTTCTCTTCACAGGTGTTTCCTCCAGTGACTGTCTTGGGCATCTAACCCTGTCTTAGTGTGTGCTTCTCAGAGGACCCAAACATCTACACTAGTCCATTCAGAGTTCCAGGTGGTCAAGTCAGAAATATTTTTAAACATAGCCCTTTAGTTAGTTTGAATTGACATGGAGAGTTGGAAAGAACTTGCCATAGAAGAACAATTGTTCTCATGCTCCTTGACCCAAAGGCTTTCTAGCATCTGAAAGAAATCTCCTCTCAGACCAGCATAAGTAACCATAATAATAATTACAATGAAATCATTTCATCTTTTACTCTGCAATAGCCAGTTAAATGCCATGGGTGGGTATTTAAATGCTCATGTTAGAGATTAAGAGGCCCAGAATAATGAGCAGTCTTGCCTGAAGTGACGATGTCTTAGGGGGTAGACAGGCATGGTGAAGATTGACTTTGCCCAGCTCCTGAACACCCCTCTTCTCCATGCTGCCACATGACATACTCTTGGTTAAAGTAAAAGTCCCAACTGCAGGACAGAATCAATTCAGAATAGATTCAATCCTAAGGGGCCATTTTGGGTGACATGATCAGTCAATTCAGCCCAAAGAACTTCATTTCTGCAAAATAAACATCAAATTCTACAGATGTTTTTTAACCACCCTTCAGTGACCAGTCAGAGTCATTCTCGGCAACATGAGGCCCCACTAGGTTCTAAAGATAATCCCAGTGCCCAGCATCATGCCGAGAATGCAAGCAGTGCCTCACACTAAGCTGGCTGTTGTTGGATGGACTGACTTTGGGTTTTCCTAAATGGCATCATCTTTTTTCAAAGATAACAACCACAGATGTCTTTGTAAAAAAAAAAAAAAAAAGTGCTCATTTCAATGGCAAACTGATGACTATAGCATGTGGCAACAGCAACTACAGATAGCATTTGTTGCACCCTTTCTTTGTTGTAGTCATTGTGCCAGAACCGCCCTCAATTATTGTCCCATTTTGTAGGTGAGAAAATTGAGGCTTGGATGTATTAAGCAACTTGCCCAGGATGTCACAGCTAATAAGTGACAGAGATCAGATTCCACTCAGATTAGACAACTCCTCATCATTCTATCTCCTTCCCAGGGATACTCCAGGATTGAGCATAAAGTCCCCACTTTGGTCCAACAGCAGGGGATAAACAAGACTGAAATCATGAATAACCCAGGATAGTCACTTATTTAAAGAAATATTTCCTAGTGCTTCATTCAAACTAGATTAACAAAGGGATACCTAGAAATGGTGTTTAGACCTTTTGAGCTATGAGCTAAGTGGAAGGGGCTTATAATAATCTCATTAAATGCTTGGTAACAAATGCTTCCAAGATGCCTGGTGCATATCAAACCATATCTCTTTAATATTTTCCACAGATCTTGTTATTTTGTTAACATTCTAACACAGGAGTTTAAAAACTCATGGAGAACTGCCCAGGGAGAGGACTGAAGGGAATGGACTACCTTGGTTTCCTTCTTGGCTGTGCATGCAGTCCTTGAGTGCACAACCGGCCTCACCTACCTGTCCTCTCCTTGACCACACTGACCAACCTACACCAAAGGCTGAAAATGGACAGTGTGATAGGCCATATTCACCTCTTACCGTGTTACCAAATTTAGGAAGCATCATCTGCAGATAGAAAGAATAGCTCCAGGACTGCCTACATCAGACTCAGAGAAATGAGGAAACCAAAAGAATAAATAGGGGGAAAGGCAAGGAGAAGGATATTCTAGTCATTATTTATCCATGCATTACTTTACTCATTCCCCAATAAATACATATTGAATGCTTATTTTAGGTCAGGCACTGGATTAGGAACTGGTAAACCAAACAGACATAAGAAGAAAATGACAAAAAAGGTATGGCAGACCCTGCCCACCCACGTACCATGCCTCCTCTTTGCTTGTTCTAGCCCCAGTGAATGAATCATGACTCTTCTCAGCCAATCACAGTTACCACACTTCCTTTGGGAGCGATTGGTCTAATGACCAATGTGACACATTTCTGGTCAATGGCACATAAAAAGAAGTTTGCAAAGGGCCCTTCTTGGGAAGATTTCCTTCCGCAGCATAAAGGAAGTACATAAGGAGGAGGCCCTTTTTGTTGCCTGCTTTCTTTCATCTTGTCTGAAATGATGCCGAGAGGACATGATGTTTAAAGCAGAGGCAGCTGTATTACAACCAGGAGGATAGTCATTGTCGGAACTCTGAGAATGGAAGAATAGAAAGACGTGCAGAGCATGGGTCTTCAATGTCACATCAAAAGGTGACATGCATCAGAATCCAGCCAACATGTGATCAGTTCAGATAGGCTTAACCCTCAGTAAGATTTGCGGATTGTCATGTTTTATTAATAACTACAATAAAGAAAGATGGAAATGTACGACATCCATTTATTCCAGCTCTATTTTGTAAGAGGCAACGAGCAAGGTGCTTTTCACAACATCTTTTTTTATCAGCGCAAGAGAGGCAAGCTGATGCTCGCAGGGGTAAGATGAGGCAGCCACTTCCTCTCTACCCAAACCAGATGCAATTTTTGAATCTCTAGACTCCATTCCCTCTTCTCCTGTTAAAAGCACCTCAATTTTGCAATGGGTGGTTCTTGATAAACCATCAGCTGTGGTGTGTTGGCCTTCTCTCACATACCTAACACATAGCAAGGCTTAAAAAACTAATACTTTCTCTAAAGCACACTTGTCTTGTTCTCTTGATCCTATGATCCCATATATATATTTTTTAAATATGCTCTTCTCCCAAGACTTGACCAAATTAAAAAAAAAAAAAAGACTGTATCTTTAATATCTTTTGCAGGAAACCACTTATTCTAAAAAGATTTACCATATAAGTAAGGTTCTTAGGAGACAAGCGAAGTTCCAATCTTCCAAATTCCCATTTTTCTCACCACAGACTAGCTTCATGTATGTAGAGAAGGTGCACTAGTCCCAGTTCACAAAAAGTGGGAGGGAAAATATGCGGGAGGGCTCTCACCGCTCACACTTGTTAAAGAGGTATTATAAACAAATACAAATTCTGAGAATAAGATTTCCCTGAAAGTACGCTGTCACTGCCAGGAAAATATTGCTTATCTTTAACACAGAAAAGAAAGGAAGGGATACGCCTTGCCTAGAAAGTTCAGGAATATTTACAATCTGTTGATGTGACCCTAGCACAACCCTTTAGATTCACACTGCTCAGACCATATAGTACCCCATACATACCCCAAACATCTACAGGGGCCATATAGGGGTCAGCAAATTACAACATGAGGGCC